TGTTGTATACCCGTGCGAATTTAAACATTTATACAAAATCATATCAAACCGATCTAATCGGTTCCAGTTTTTTTTTATTAATTATATTTTATATACGACCGACGTTTATATAAACATTTAAAATAATTTTTTATAATAATAATAATAATAATAATAACGATCGTCGTATATAATTATATTATTTATTTATTTATTTATTAACACAAAATAAATAAGTTTTATAAAGGGTTTTCCCTTTCGCCATTTTGTTAAAGAGTAAAAAAATTTGTTTTCGTAACGTTTAATTATAAAAAAATTTTTTAAAATGCAAAAACAGACGGATTATTTATTATTACAACATATAATAATTACGGGGAGATTCGTTGCCCCCCATTTCCCCATTTACCCCACTTTCCCCCCCGATTTTTCTTTCGCGTAATTATTACTTTTTCCCGTATCGAATGAATATTTAGATATATTTTACGAAATATTATTTAGATCGGTGCGAAAAATAAATAAAAAAAAAAAACGTGGCATTAGTCGTGGGTTAAATAAACAAATGGATGACGTTTGCCGTCACGTGTCATCATCATCAACTAAATGATTTTACAATCATTTCCGGTAGCGAATAAGAAAATCGAGGAAAATTTTATAAATTTTTTTTTTTCGTCGGTTTTTTCCGAGTTTCGTTGTGACGTAACTTATCGGAGGAAGTGGGGGGGATATCAATGACCGATTATGTTTATTATTATTATTATTATTATTATTATTATTATTATTATTATTATTATCATTAGCGATTCTAACGACTTCCGAATTTGTAATAATTATTTTAGCGAAAAAAAAAGGAAAAAAAAATTCTTTTTACAACGGTTAAGTGGTCAAGCAAGAAAATTTTGATAAAGAACGTTGTGTTATCGTTCCAGTGACCGAACGTTTTCTACGATTTTTATCATAAGAAAAAAATTATTATTATTATTATTATTATTTTCCTTATTGTTTATTTTCGAATCGAACAATCAGTCAGTCATATTCATTCATTTCAAGGTTTTTTTTTTGTGTAAAAAAAAAAAAATAAATAAACGATTTTTTTTTATAAAAAAAAAAAAAAAAACCTACACGAATACAATTTCTATTTTCCCTCTCTCTCTCTCTCTCTTTCTCTCTCTCTCTCACTCTCGTCATTTCATTGTGTTATTAAAATTGTTTTGCAAAAAGGTATTTTATAAAATTATGTAAACGAAGGAAACGACAACCAATCCTTATTTTTTTTTTTATTTTTTATTGTTTAAAAATTTTAATTGTTCGTTGAATAATTCATTTTAGAAAAAAGAAAAACGATGCGTAAATATATGTACGAATGGTTGTGTGTGTGCGTGTGCGTGTGGAAAAGTTATACGTACCGCAAAAGTCATTAATTTTAATTATTGAATAAATTAATAATTTTTTTTTTTTTTTTTCGTTGAGTAATTTGTAGCTAAAGTAGCAGAAGCGGTAGTGAAAAAAAAAAAAAAAAGAAATTCGGGTAAAAATCAAGGTTTTTTTTTATGATTAATTACCTTATTACGTATATTAATATTAACGCTCTTCTTCTTCTTCTTAATGTATTATTATAAACGTGTCTTCACAGTTATAATTCCCCCCCCTCTCTCTCTCTCTCTCTCTCTCTATCTATCTCTCTTTAAAAAAAAAGCAATATTTTAATTTTTTTACATTTTAAAACAAGTTCATAAAAACTTACAACCACTACTACTACTACTTAAACTTGTAATTTTTATATTACATAACTCACAATATATATGAAAAGAAATTAAGTTTAATTATGTTAATCACGAGAACTCGTAATTAAAAATATTTATGATAAAATTAAATTACTCATTAATTTCGAATAATGATGATGATGACGATGATGATGATGATGATATGATGATGATGATAATTTTTTTTTTAATTTTGAAAAAAACGAAATAATTAAGAAAAAATTCATATTCGAACAATGTTGAAAAAATTTTTCTCTTTTTAAATTAAACGCTCCGTTTTATTTATTTATTTATTTATGTATTTAAAACCGAACGAATCGTTGTTTAATAAATAATATACATAAGTACATAAATAAATAAATAATTTTTTTTTATATAAAATCGCGAGGTGGATGTAAAAAAAAAAGTACGTTTGTTTCGTTAACGGTTTCGTTTTTATTCTCTCTCTCTCTCCCTCCTCCTTCTTCTCTTTCTCCTCCCACTCATCCACCTCACCCCGCCCCCCTAATATAATTTTGGAAGGAAATTACATTTTAAAGAATGATAAAATGAAAAAAATCATTATGGAATTAAAGATTCCATATAAAAATTCTGGAGTTCATAATAGAAATGATTTTTCAAGGTTTTTTAACGTCGAAAAAAAAAAAAAAATTCGGACATTATTATCATCATTATTATTTTCGATTGCGTTTTCATCATCATCATCATCATCATTGATTCGATTTTACAAAAAAAAAAAAATTTTATTTTTCAATAATCGAAACGATTTTCATTCTTTCGATAGTTTTTTTTTTACAACAACACCCACGTTGAACAATCGAAAAAAGAAGAAGAAGGAGGTATTTTTTCTCTCTTTCTATCTATTGTATTGCCATGAAATTTTTTTTTAAGGTTAATATCATTATTATTATTATTATTATTTAATATAGTTAAAATCATTAAGGGAACCGGTAATTAAAAGAAAAGAACAATTACTATCACTTTCTATCATAAAAACGTTAATAATAATTAATTTAAATCTATGATAAGAGTAAAAAAAAAAAAAATTTCTGTTGTTACTTTCTATTCATTATTATTATTTTATTTAATGCCACGATTTTTTTTTTCTCCACAACACGAAATCCGATTTTATAATTACGTAATAATAATAATATAAAAAATGAAATTTTATATACGAAGAGTTAAAAATAATTCAATAATTAAAAAAATTATTTCATTAAAGTTTCGAAAGTATGTAAATGCGTTACGCTCACGTGTACGTAGAAAAAAGAAGATGACGTGGAACGATTTGATTTTTTTCACGGTTTTAAGAATCGTTGATATCGAATGAATTTTTTTTAGTTACACGTTTTTTTTTTTTTTTTTACGAGTCTCACAAGGTTTTGTTGTATTTTACGGTTGGGTAGTAATACAAAACTTTTCCATATCGTAACCATAATTTTTTTGTCAGGTATTCGATTTCGTTTGTTTGTATCGAACTTGGCCTTTATTTTGTCATTCATTAATCATCCTTAGATACGAAAAATAATAATTAAGTAGTAGGTCTACTACACACATCGTCCTACACCTCCTACCAATCGGAAAAATATTAAGGACTTCAAATAAATACCTCCTACGTTTTATATCCTTCTTAATATTATTTTCTCATTTAGTTTTTTTCTCCGAGAGTTAACAAAACGAATGTTTTATCATTATTATTATCATCATAATAAATAAATTTAAATTATTCATTGATTATCTATCAATTAATTTTATTATTATTATTATTATTATTATTATTATTATTATTTTTGCCATCGTTTTTAATGCCTTATAAATTCACTTTCTAATTGTTTTTTTTTTTTTTTTTTTATTATTATTATCGTGTCAAAATTTTTTTAAATTACAACTTTACGGAAGCAATAAAAACCAAAAAAAAAAAAAAAAACTTATAAATTGCCGATACATATATTTGTTTGCCCTCCGGGATTAAATTTTTTTTTTTTTTTGGAGTATTTAAAATGAAAACGCAGAAGTCTCTCTCTCTCACTCTCACTCACTCTCTCTCTCTCTCTCACTCTTTCACTCTACCTCCTCTAGTCATAGTACTAAATTTTTTTTTTTTTTAATTAAAAGCTTCATGGTCAGCCACATCTCTTTAAAAAATTTATGCGATTCAATCGGTGGATTTTGTAAAAAGTCGTTTTTATTTTACCGAAAAGTGTACACGCGCACGCACGCACACGCACACGCATATAAAACTAATCTGACAATATTTGAATTTATTAAAAATAATTTATCACGTACACACACACACACACAAAAAAAATTTCTAAAACTGTTTTTTTTTTTTTTTAAATTTATTATTATTAAACATAATAATTTTTTATTAAAAGAAATGACGAAAAACGAATGAGTCGGGCCGTGTGCGGAAATCTAGTATAAAAAAAAATAAATAAATATTTTTTCTAAAACCACGACGATTTTCAAATTGAAAAAATATTAAATTTTTTGTTTTCTAAAAAAGGGATTTCGGTAGCGGAGAAAAATTTTTTAAAAAATGGATTTTCTTTTCTACAAATCAAATTTTCCACGTGATAATGTTAGTTATCGTTATCATTCGGTCACGTGGAAATTTATTTCTTATCAATAATGGACTCGATGGTTTGGTTTTTTTTTTTGAGGCGCATTCGCATTCGTTCTTATTATCAACATCGTACGTGGTTCGTCTTTGTCAATTTTTCTAGAATTTTCTTTATTTTTCTTTTGTTTTTTTTTCTTTTCCATTGTCTATTGTCGTTGTCGTTGTAAAAATATTCGTCTGTGGCAGGATGAGTAAATTAAATTAAAAGAAGACAATTTAAAGTCGAAATTCGTGAAAGGAAACGATTTAAAATTTCGTCACTTCCTTTTTCTCTCTCTCTCTCTCTCTCTCTGTCTCTCTGTCTCTCTCTGCCTCTCTTTCGAAAATGGAGAAGAAGAAGCAGAAGAAAAAATTCAAGGACAAAAAAAAAATTAAACAATAAGAAATAAAAAAAAAAGGTGGTACTTACCAAAAAAAAGTATAAAAAACGGTCATCCGTGAAGCTGTTGATGGCGGCGGTTAAAATGTTGAAGAATTTGGATTGTCAAAAAGACAGAGACGAATTTTTCAATTCATCCGACACGAATTTATGGAATAAACAGTACAACGATAATAATAATAATAATAATGGTTTTTCGTTGAAAGATTGCAATGCGTCTTGGTGTGCAACCGCCCAAGAAACGCAACAATCTATGAGAATGCAAGAAATCGTCATGATACAAATGAGAGATAAATTGTTGATGAATCGATGCAAATTCAAAGCCTCCATTAAACCAAATGAAAAAATTCAAAGGTTGATCGAAGAAAAGAAAAAATGCACCGGAAACATTGAAATCATAGAAGAATTGTTGTGTCAAGTTAAAAAAGAACTCGATTGTACGAAAATGCAATTTGAAAAATATCTAGAAAAAAATAATCAGGAAAACAAACAAAACAAACAAAAATGCGTGTGTCGGTGGTTGTATTCGTCCTCATAAAATAAAA